AGATGGCCGCGAAATCGTGACTTAGTCACTAGCGCGTTTTCCTGCGCTATAGGCATTTTGCTTGCGCATTACTTTGAGCTCCCATTATAGCTTATTGCGATATTTAGCTCTGATCTAAATGGCTGTTGTAATAACTTAAGTTTTCTTCTTTTGAAGTCGATCACTGATTGCTCTCTAAAGCTGTGGGCACATCGCGCCAACAAAGCCGTAATGGTAATCCTTTAGTAATGCTTATTGGTAATCCTCATAAGAAAAGGCGATTTCATCCGTTGCAGGCTGAGCTTTTTTCCCGTCGACGGCCTAGGATTTTCTTTTTTTCTCGCGATAAAATCTCTGAAGAAAGCACTTTGTAAAGTTTTTCTAGAAAGGCTTGAAAATTAACTGATGAATTGAAAGCGAAAGGAGCGATTTGAAAGAAATATCCAGCTTTCTTAGGTCATACATGGACAGATGAACTTGATAATTTGCCATAACATGGATATGCATTCCTTCTCTAAGTTCGGATGTGGTATTCTCAAACGGATTAAGATCATGACAGGCGGAGAAACACGTATTTGTTATCCCTCTCTCGTTTACAAATTTTTTTAATTTGAGAATATCACGTCAGCTTTTTTCGAGAAGTCTGAAAGGAGTAAGATCAAAAAATCTCGGCTGTATGAGAAATAAAATTTTGAAACAAATAATTTGTTGGATTTTAAGAGCGAACGTTGGAGCGTGTTTCAGCGATTTCAGCTTCACAATTTTGAAAACAAGTTTTAGCGAGTATCTACATGTTCTTAATCAAATAACCACAGCCTTTTAACCGAAAAAAATTTTTGGCTGGCTTATTACAACCTTAGTAAGATCGCCTCTTTTAAATTCGTTCATTTATTTCGCCAGTTGACAGCTAAAAGGTGAAGCACAAGCTTAGTATACGCGTTCCCTTTATTTTTTGTGATAACACTTTTTAGCAAGTATATAGTGCTATGAAACCTTTAATAAGTCGTTTAGCCAATTATAAAAAAGATTAAAAGCGTATCAATTGTTGTAAATGAACTACAAAAGTAAATAACGCCAATTAACATATAATTTTCGCTCTATTCATTGCACAAATAACTCATTTCCTAAATGGTTTGTTACGTTGAATTTTAAACTCTCTTGTTTTTCTTTAGCGGCAATTGTTTTTCTATATGGTAAGGTCAAATAATTTGGAATCTCAGCGATAACATTTATGTGATAAATCCGGTTTCAAAAAATACCAATGGAAACTACACGCTGGCTTCATGTTCACTGTATCGACCGGTTGACGAGTACAGACCAGTTCAAAACGGAAAATTCCTGAACACTGAGAAAGCCGCATCATGGCACTAATGATAAAGTGGGAGGTAAATTAGAGAATTTTCAGAGAAGGGGAGGGTTTTGTTATCCAGGCAAATCTAATATTTTTGTAAACAGTTACATAGTTCGCCGCTGTTTTCTCTATATTTTCTGTTTTTTTCTGTGGTAACTATTTGTCTGAAGACTCTCTATGCAATGTTCCTGTCACTGATGATTATCAAAGATATCGGATGAATAAAGCTTATTCAGTAACATATGTGGTGATGTAAGTTAAGTGATCGAGATTTTTCTATTGTAAGACAACTAAAAAAGTTAGTGTTGCCTGAAATTGAAAAGACACTGAGAGGAAACATGCCAAAAACGAACTTCAACAAGCCTTAGTCGAACTGAAGCAATATCACAAACAACAGAGAGGGAAAGGTCTTGCTGAAACCCAAAAAACCACTCCAGCGATCTTCGAAGTAAATCCGATTGGGAATGTTAAATCTTCTATTTAGTTTCGATCTTCTTTAACCATCACGAAACACAGTATTATTTGAAAAAAGGCAAAAGATGAATAATCACTTTCGCTCTAGATAGTAACAAAATAATTCTATGAAAACTTACTGCTCGAAGCTGAGCTTATTCCAGCCAGGTTTATAAGAACCCAGGTCAAATGTATCATCAAGAAATTTCTTCCAAAATCCATCATCTTCATTAGTGACATAATTTGTCTCTCGTTTCCCTGGCTGTGATTTACGACGGTGAACGAAACGTCGTGATGTTTAGCGCTGAAACCAAGAAGGCCACAGAATCAATGACAAAACGTCCGGTTTTCTTGTTCCCGTACTTATAATGTGGATCAAAGCGGAACAGCTTGAGTTGAAATACGTAGCCCTACGTGCTGACGGTAACCTAAGGAGACAATTAAATTTGAACTCATTGGTATGTTTTGGTAGGAGTGCCAAAAATATTATCAAAGCTTTGAGTTGTACGTCTTTCATCACTGACAATAGCTCGACTTCTCTTTAAGTCTTTTAGAATGAATCGTGTAAATTTTGGCCAAAAAAATACGATAGCATAAATCTCCTTCTAACTGAGAAGTCTGATTTTATAGCTTCGTGGACATGTATGGGTGGTTTCATAATGGAACCCTATTTCTCTACACCCCTACCCCCCCCCCACCCTTCACTCCCTAAGAATGTTTCATACACATCTGTCTTTCTTTTGGGTCGTCGAAGCAAAAATATTCATGATTTATGGGTGCAGAGTAAGGTTGCCCTTGCCAAAAAATGTCGACAAGCAAGAACACGCAGTAAAAGACACCAATTTGTCGTTTTCACGACAATATTTTGGATCAATATCAGTATCTGGGCAACTACCCACCTACCCCTCCCCTAACCCAACAACAGTCAATTGATAACATGTTAGGGTGAATGTTGGGTTAAGGGAGGGATAGATGGGCAGTTGCCCAGATACTGATATTGATCCCATATTTTTATCGATTTTGACGCCTTTTGTCCGATCTAGTTCCTGCTTCCTGTAATGCTGCAAGTTATACGGGAGGGGAGCTTCCGTTTCATGGCCAAAAACAAGTCTTGTCGAGCAGTGGGCAATAAAAAAAATCAAAATCATGACCTCGTTCGCTTTCCTTACAAACATAACTCAACCCAACAATAAAAACTGCATGAAAATCTTTTGTAAACAGCTCGTGCAAAAAATTTAATTTAAATGCAAAGAAGAGCTGACGGAAGAAAGGAATAAATCTACTTTTTCCCGTTTGCCATCAGCCCACGCTTAAAAGCTATTATTAACCTCTTTTAATTATACTCTTTTAACGTGCGCACCTACTACACATCAAGATAAAGCAATATTAAAGATCTCAAGAACAACTACTTTTTGATCTTATTCTAAAAGTCCTTTCTGAAGTTGTAGACTTTGTTCCTTGAGGTTTTTTACAATAAAAATAACTTAAGCGATTTTATGTCGTG